GCGGCCGCGTTCTGAACTAGCTGAAGTCGCCGGATGCTCTTCAAGGGCAGCCCCATGTAGAGCACGTTGCAGTATTCCAGCCTAGAGATCACATATGTCATAATGTATATTTGATCCTTTAAGATTTTAACTTATGACAGTATTGAGGTTCAAGTACACCTATGTAACCAATTATGAAATTATATTGAGGTATAAAAACATTAATACCAAATTAATTCCAGGATCCCAGAGTATTGTCCCCCTGTTTTTCAGAGGAACCTAGTGAAATAAGACACCTAGAACACTTCTAGAGAAAGAAAAAGGGCAAATTCAGCCAGAAATAGATTAAGAAGCTTTATTAAGGTTTATACCATGAAAATAAGAAAGGCAAAACTTTAGGTATTTAGGTAGGTATTTTTCCACTCTATTTGCATCAACAAATTGCTCTCTGGCAGTCCTGCTTAAGGTAGCCCATTCTTCCTAGATAAGAGTGGGTCAGATCATTTGACCTTTGAAAAAACTTTTAGAGAAATCTATTGGATAAGGTTGTTTAGATTTACTCTGAGTTGAACTCTACCCATCCACATCCTGTGGTTATTTGAAATGAGTTTAGCCTATTTGTCCCAAGGAATGAACAGAATTCTTGAGACTATGAGTGTAGCCACTTGTGTATTAGATCCATATCCTCCCTAGGTTGCTCAAGGCCTCCCAGGAGGTTATCTAGTCTTGATGAATTCATACTTGAGTAAGGTTACCTCCTTAGGAAATCAGTTCTGAGCTGATTTCCAGCTTTCCTTTGGGCGCGATTGTGGAGAAAATGCGGAGGCTGCAGCTTCAGAGTGCTTTAAATTCAAGGTTTTCTGGATCTCTCTCAGGCCTGAGTATGGCACCAAAACAATATTGATTACTCCTATGGTGGGATTAGGGTGGGGGGTGGTATAGGCCTCCTAGCCCTCTTTTGATTTCTTGGTGACCTTTGATACAATCAGTCATGGTATCCTTCTGGGGGTGCTTGATTTTACGAGTGGGAGACATGATATAGGAAGTTAAAACCCACCCCTCTACTAGAAAATGGAATATTTTAGGAAATATTAAAAGGACAGAATATTTCCTCTAAATGGGAGACAGAAACTCAGCTCCTCCCCACATCTTTGTCAATGAACCATTAAGGCCTGAGCCAGTCTATTCTACATAACAAAGATCTCTCCATTTCAGCTCCAGGGTGATGAGATTAAGGCATGATAGTATTAACCTATCTTACCTCATGGCCCTGGGAACAAGCAATGCTCAACTAAACTTGGGACTCAAAACACAGCCTACATAGTTGTCCTTGCATGGCCCCATGGGAGTCTGACAACCAATACAAGCTCAGGTTCAAAGCCCAGAGAGGTCATAAAACCAGAGACTTTCAGCATCTCTGCCCTTTTTCTTCTTCATCCAACATCTTGAAGCATGTGATCCCCCTTTTCTGTTCAGGAGCTCAAGCCATGTGGTCCTGTCCACCATTAAACCATCTTTCCAAGCAGCCTCCATGTTTCAAGTGTCTCCCCCCCCCCCGCCACTTAGAACT